TTTTATGCGGGAATTCAAATTACTTAAGTTGAGTATCCGAAAAGCACCCTTAGGAGCTTTTAAGTGCAGAGTTTATATTCACATTTGTATGCATATAAATAACTACTTTAAATGCATTAAAATTCCTTCAAGTTTCGAAAATTACACACAGATACTCACTTATATAAACATGATGGCACTTGTAGTCAAGTTATATATAAAATGCTCTTTTTAATTGAATGCGTGGAATGTGTGGAATAGTTACGCAATTTTTCTAACTGGGGAACGTTTTTATGTGAACCATATGTCTACGTTTTTAAATTGAATTTTTACTCTCACGCCGTGGTGAGAGTGGAAATAAAAAATCTCTTACTAAGGTCTATTGCTAATATATGGCACTATCAGTATAAACGATAGCACTTTGTATCATACAATTGGTGTCATCAATGGTACTATCGATACTATGGGTGATACTATTGAAACTATTAATAGATCGACTATTGAAAATATCGATAACACTATTAAAAGTATAGATATTTATAGTATTGCGGTACTTTTGATCAAACTATCGATTACACTATTGAAATTATCTACGATACTATGAAGTTTTCGATAATGCTGTTGACAATGCCATCAATATTAGCTGTCAATATCAGCGATGAAACGATCAATACCATTACATACCATGCGCTATCAGTTATACTTTTGATTACACTATTTACAATATTATTGATTAGACAATAGATGAATAATTGATGCTATCAGTACCATCGATGATACTGTCAATATTGTCGATTGCATTGTCGGAATCATCGATTACACTATCGATACCAAATCATATTTAAACAATAATACTATTGATGATACTATTAATTACACTATCGCGGAACAACTGATTACACCACAGACGATACTGTCGGTAATAGTATAGATGATAGTATTGGCATCATCGATGTTACTATTATTACTATCTAGTACATAGTACATATAGTAGTATCGATGATACTATTAAAAATATCAACGATGATACTTTCGATTACACTATCGGTGCTTCTATTGAATAAACTATAGATGATATTATCATACTATCAATAACATTAAAATCAAATTAAAATCAATTACAATTTGGATACTGTCGATGGCAAGATCGATTCTCACGATGATACTATCGATACTATTGATTACATTAAGGATAGCATTAATGATACTATTGACCGTGAATAGGTTCCTTTCGATACTTTCGAGTTGTTACTCTCAATAGTTTTAAATTCTCCTTAAAAATTGATGAGTTATTAAAACAATTAATTTTTCTGGATTTTATAGAATCCAGTTAAGATAAAATTTCTAAAGTAATACTTTTTAAAGAAGAAAAGGCTTTGACATGTCAACTTCATTTTAAAAACCATACATCAGTTTTCATTGCGTCTATGTTTTTATTGCAATTCACTTTAGAGCATTGGATAGATTTTTATTTAATGAAAATAGTCATGCAATTTGTTCTTACTAGAAATTACACTTTTCATTCTATTAGAGATAAAAATGTTTTTTGGTGTGTGTACTTCAGTAGAAAATGATGTGTTTATGGCTGTATTTGTTTTGAATATACTTATTTGTGCACCTAATACAATACTATGCTATTAAAAGTTAAAAGAATACTATCCAAAGGTCCAAAAGCAACATCTCTTCTAATTTTATTATATATTTTTAACATTAATATTGCTCATAGACACAATTTTTACAAAAAAAACAGTTTTAAAACTATTTTTCTGCTTTGCCACATTTTTGGTGCTGTTAGCTGGTGTATTTTTTTCTATGAGAAAATGTAACAGAATTTAAATTAAAGTATAATAATTCATAATCATCATAGTATGTGAAATTTAAATTTAAAAACTTAATTCACTAATCTGAGCATGGCGTTGACATACAATGTAATTTTCACCAAAACACTGACAAAGTGCAACTATGCTGACTTCAACCACTTTAGTATCAAATTCTAATTAGAATTTTATATTAAATAAAAGCAAGCTACATTATGCTAGGAATTTTCTATTTAAACAAATATGGTGAGAGGATAAATTTTTTCTCATGCATGCTAAAATATCTAACTACAAAATTTGTAAAACAAAAATAGCAAGCAAAAATATTTTAATGACGTTGAAGCTGTACATGCAGGAGCATCTGAAATTCATTTACATGAAACACATAATACAGACATTCACCCATGCTCACATGGCACTAATGTTATTTTCCGTTGATGTAAAGAATTCAGTTTTTTGATATAAATAGAAATATGTACTCCCGAACATACATTATCTATGTAGATCTATGTAAAATTGTATATGTCGGTTATTGGAATAGCTTATGACGGTATATGTGAAATATTACAAGATAAAATTTGTGCATAAGATTGAGAAATTTTCTTAAAAGCAAATAGCGTTTATAGTGAGTGCAATTGTCAGGTAATAAAATTCACAATTTTTGTCACTCATACGCCAAGTAGTGTCGTTATTGGTTCTAAATTGTGGCAGTTAATATGAAAATATAACAAGAGATGATTTTTTAAAAATTGAATATTGTCATAAAATAAGATTGTTTTGTATAGTAAATAGTAAAGACTATAAAAATACAATGGGTAAAATTTGAAAACTGAAATAAAACTGAATAACTGAATAAAAAGTAATAATTGAGACTTAAAGTGAAAGTTATAAATTGTTATTTTTGAAGCTTCAATTTAAAGCTTAAATAAAAACTTGATTTATAAATCAACTCACATTTTGAATATAAAACAATATCTCTAAACCTTTTTCAATATTTTTATTAATAATATATAGATTATTTAAAATTTACAACACATGAATATGTTTCTTAAATAATTTTAATCTCATTCTGGTTCATTAAATTTTAAATACATAATGATATTATAAATTGTATGTATTATCTCACAAGCGCAGAATTCATTGTCTAAAAGAATATAAAAGTACGAACAAAACGACACACACATTGAAACATTGATTTTGTGGAGTATATTAAGAATTATATACTCTGAGGGACATCATCTGCTACCCTCAATGTGACACAATGACATTTTTAAACGTAAAATGGTTCTGGTGAGTATCATCCAATTTTTGTCTGGACGTACAAAATATAGCTAAATATTTTGTATAAGAATTGCAATAGTTCAATAGTGAACTTATAGTGTGGAATTAAAAAAATAAATACAATAGGGAAGAAACTAATATTAAGATGAAAATGCGCATTAAGTCACTAATATCAAGAAAACACATTTTAACTTTAGTTTGGTTTACGATATTCTCGAAAGAAAACCAAATTTGTTTATAATAATTTATTAACATAGAACTAATCCATATTTTTCAATAATAGAGTGAAAAGTCTTTTCTGCAAAGTATAACTGAATGGCTTGCAAAAGAGCACGTGGAATACTTGAACGTCATAAGTTGTAGTAATATTTTTATAAAGTTATATTATATTAAGAATATTATAATATTTAATAATTTTTACTTGAAAGATTAATAGGTTGTCAGTTAGGAATATTAGTTAAGTTACACATGATAAAACTAAATAACCATTCATTCTCGCATGTGAAAATGTTGTTATATTCATAAATGTCTTAAATTGTTTTCTGTCTATATATTTTAATTAAACTTATTATCCATAAGATAATAAAAAGTTGTATAAGACATGCAATATTTTTTTTTATATTTTTTTTTTATGAATATTTGTCACAGACAAATATTCCTAACTTAAAAAGCAAGTCAACTGCATTAAATTATGGTTCAATTAAAGTTGGGTCCTTGCACTCAATGGAGTTTTTTCGTAGAAGACAACTATCACATATTTTAAAAACTCTATTTTCTTTCTTTAAGTTTAACTTTTAATTACTTTTCTTTATTATTTTGTAAACTATTTGCATATATGCGTGAGTATATATCTCCCAAATATATGTATTCTTGTTGTTGTTAATGTCACTTTAAAAGGACTTAGCATTGAATATTGTAGTTGCTGACTATTTTCATATCTCTTTGTCCTTCTTAAAACTGTGCAAAAACTGTTGAAGAGATTATATCTTATTGTTAAATTTTTCAGCCCACTGTGACTTACTAGCACACCCATTATGAGACAAAAATCTTTACGAATCAACTTATTGAGCTTTCTAAATTTGCTTTGCACTAAGTACCACAGCCTAATACATACAGATTTCTGTGTGACTGAGGCGCATAGGTTATGCAGTTAAGCTCTTTGCTCTCCTTAGAACTGTGGCAAAAATTGTTGTAAATATTATATCTTATTGGTTGGTTTCCTATTCGACTTCGAATGGTCAGCATACCCATTATGAGACAGAAATCTTTTTGGAACATCGAAATAAGATGACTTAGTTTATATTGAACAGCTCAATACATAAAGATATCTGTATGACTGATATTGCATGCATAATCTCTGTGACGCGGAACCTAGAGCTGTAATAGTCAAAAATCATTCTATATATAATTTGTATATATAATTAATTATTCTCTTTGTGAGGATAACTCTTTCATTGACTGGCATTGCATGCATAATCTCTGTGACGTGGAACCCAGAGATGCGTAATAGTCAAAAATCATTATACCTATATAAAATTCGTTTATATAATAAATTATCCTCTTTGTGGGGATAATTCCTTCACCAAAAACTTTGTATGACATTAAAGACAGCAAATAAATTGGGTTAAATGTTTATCTCTTAAATTATTTTTTTAGGTTGGAATCACATTTATTGAGCTGGATGATTACAGTGGAACATATACTATATATGTTATAAATAAACTATCGGTTTAGCTCCACTATAGATAAACACAAGAATTGTATTATGTCAGAAATCAAGTAAATAAAATTTATATGTACTTACTAAAATAGTGTTAATTATTTTTTGTCCTTTCCAGTATAAAATTAAACACATATATAAACATCTTTTAATATATATAATACAACAAAATATTAATAAAAAAATTTTACTTTTATTTTCAGCGGATAGCTCATTTTTATTGGCCAACGCACAGATAGTTGACTTCCCGATTGTGTATTGCAATGAATCCTTCTGCAAAATCAGCGGCTACAACCGCGCTGAGGTTATGCAGAAGTCCTGCAGGTATGTGTATGTACCACTTCCAGATACCTAATTGATGTTTAGATGATAGTTGTGTGTTAGACCAGAACCCCAAGCATGTGTTCTGGACAAAAGTAGCATAAATTACTTTATGATTTCCGAATTGGCTACTAAACCCACTGCATGTTTCTGTTCCCAAACTAGAAAAACTTGTCAACCATAAAACCATTTAAAAAGCAAAGGCATTTACTTGTCAGTTTACATAAAAATTTTATCTCTTCTTTACAGTATAATTTATGCTAATGTGTTAATAAATGCACAAAACCCACACATAACATATATAACCTTGTCAATATAAACTTTATTTACATTTTAATATATGCGAAATAATAAACAAGAGAGTCGAATTGAAAAAAATAAATAAATTAATGCTTCTTCAGGGACTCATCATGTCATAGCATAAATATTATTGTTGCCATTCCTTATTTCAGGACGTTGAGGTTATTTTAAACTTGAACTGAACATATAAAACGGCAACAGAACAGGGCAGGACAGGACAGGAATTTATGGTTAAAGTGCAGAATTTGAAAAATGAGCCTTAAGCTGTAGAATTTCATTGAATACAAATTGTGGCATAAAATTAAAATATTTAAATTGAAAAAGGAAATTTCAGCGTTGAAAGTTTTTTAATACTTTGTAAATGCTGAAGGATGCTGATAATATTTCCATTAAATAAAAATATTTAAGCCATTATTTGTGCAATAAAATTCTTTTGAACTTGATTGCATTACGAAAGTAGTTACATTTAATAAAATTTTTATGAAAATAAGTTCAAAGCTAAAAATAAAAAAGAAGTATATATAAGGTACTATCGAATAGTACCTTAGAACGCTTCTGTTGGAATATGTTATAACGCGATAATGATTTCCCAGGCAACTAAGTTTCTACTTTACTCATGTATCGAGCGTATCCTAGTATTGTAGGTGTTCTGCGGGTGCCCTGCGAATTCCACTCGAAAAAAATCCCTGCAATATCACATTCTTTTTTTCTCACCGTGATACCAATCAGTTTGCATTTAACTATACTGTAAATTTCTTGATTTGAAATTATGTTCGACTAGAATACAAATTCTGCGCAGGTAATTGTTAATGAATGTTTGTACTTTTCTAGGTAAGGACTGCGTTTCGCGTCATGTTTAGGAACCATATAAGAGAACAGATTTAAAATTGGTATTAAAAATTCTTTCGGTCCTCTGATCAATATTTAATAAATTCTACAGTGCCCGCAGTTGGAATCAACACCCGTGTCCACACCCCCATCTTTAGAAACCATGTTATACTGTAACGCTATCTCATAGTTGATGTCTCATAGTTGTGGATGTTGACTCTGAGGAGAATTTCACTTGACCATATAAGAGAACGGGTTTGACATTAGTGTTAAAGATGTTAGTTGTCCTTTGGTCAATATTTTATGAATTCCAAACTGCGCGCAAATTATTATCTATTATGCGGGAGTCAACATCCGTGACCACACCCCCATCTTAAGGAATTATGTTGCGAAATTATATAGATACCTCATAGTTGAGGAGGAGGGTCAACTATTGTTGCGCTGACTCTCATTAATTTGTTTTTGTTGAAATACACCTTAAGGCCAACTGCAGCTGCATTCTTGATCAGGGCTTCGAATTTTCGTTGCTTGTGGCTTATAGCATATGCACAGTGAAACAGAGTTTTTCATTTGGTCACCATTCAATTCCTTTTGGGCATTCATCGTTTGTTTTGCTTAGCAATTTATCCAGTACTATGATAAAAAGAAGCAGCAATAGTACATAGCTTTACCGATCGCCTTTTAATGTTGTAAATTTATCGCTTAATTTGACTTTGAAACGTATGCAGTTTTCCTTTATTAGGCTAAATTTCTTGTCTGGTATGCCATTTTCTCTGAGTGTCCTCCAGATTTCTTTTCTTGGAATGGTATCAAACGTCCGCTTAAAATCAACAAAAAGCAAATACAACGAAAATCACCATTCTACAGATTGTTCTATCATTAATCGTAGAATATTTATATGATCTACGCACGATTGACCCGGTCTAAAACTGTTTTGTTCTCGTCTTAGTCTGTTTCTGTTACAAGTCTTAATTTTGATAGACTTTCTCAGGAAAATTCTTATTATTTACATTCATATTTACCTTAAATTGTTCTTCTACATTCAATACAATATACATTAAGACCGAAAAGTTTTCGGAAATTCTCATTTAAAATTCGCGCGCTGTATATTTTCCGATATTTTAAGTTTATGTAGTTTGGCAGCACTGTCCTTAATTACTATGCCAAAAATGAGCGCGATCTGTCAGACAGTTCGTTTACGGCAGCTGTTGAAACCAGTTCACCTCAGTAGGGCGTTGCGAAAAAAACAATGGAAAAAAATATTGAACAAAGAGTTTGCATCAAATTTTGTGTTTCGAACGAAATTTCGTGTGCAGAATCGTTGCGAATGCTACAAAAGGCTTATGGGGAATCAGTTTTATCGAAAACTCAAGTTTATGAGTGGTACAAAGCCTTCCAGGACGGTCGTACGACCGTCGAAGACATTTCGCAACGCACTACTGAGGTGAACTGGTTTCAACAGCTGCCGTAAACGAACTGTCTGACAGATCGAGCTCATTTTTGGCATAGTAATTAAGGACAGTGCTGCCAAACTACATAAACTTAAAATATCGAAAAATATACAGCGCGCGAATTTTAAATGAGAATTTCCGAAAACTTTTCAGTCTTAATGTATTATGACAAAATGTGTTTGATCTTGAGATATGAGTTTAAAAATAAAAGTGGTTTTAAAGTTGCATTTCAAAAGAGGATAAATGTATTGAAAACAATAAAAGTAAAGTAGGAAAAAAGTAGGAATACGTACAAATTTAACGGGTTTTGTTTATATTTTTATATTAAGTTTTAATTTTAATGGAATTTTAATTATTTACATTTATACATATTTCAAAATTTGTCCATTATATTAATATAAGAAAATTATGATAAAATATGTTTTATCCTAAGATATGAATTTAAGGGACCATAAACATATGAAGGTGTTTGGGTTAAATAAATTTATATATCTAACATATCATTAACGTTTAAATACTCAGCTAGTAAAGATGCATCTTTGTTTTTAACCTGTTTTTCACTTTTCACAACCATTTATAGAATGGTTCCTTTATAAAGAATAAAAATAGCCTTAGGATGTATGTGAACTCAGTTTCTTGAACTCGAGAAATGAAAAATTTATAACAAAAAATAAGCACACATATGAAATAATTGTATATTTAGATATATCTGTATAGGTATGTATGTATTAATGTAGATGAATGTATTTCGATATATGCTAAAAAAACTTTTTTAAAAATGTAGCACACATCTATTGCCCTCGGCAAGTGTCCATTTAAGGTTTTAGTGCTTGTAAAAAATTTCATATTCAAGCACTGGCATTTCTTATATTAATTTTTTTAGCAAACCGAGCTTAAAATACTTGTCATGACATTCTTCTTGTTTATTTTCGACTAAAATATCTCAAGTGAGAAGTGGGTTTTTGTTGGTGTATTTGAAAATTAGTCTCATAAGTGTGCGTTTGGCTCTAATAAGTCCATTTTGCTTGCACTTAAATTGCCATAAATTTCGAGCATATCCTTTCGCTGACGCCAAGTGCGCTTCATTTTACCTTTAAAACTCTCAGGGACAATTTGTATATTGGTCGTTAGTGTAATTGTAGCTTCGTGGTTCTATGTTCTATTTTTGTTGTATCTTTCTATTTCTACTGGTATTTCTACTCGTTCTAATGCTGCAACTGCTGCCATGCTGCCATGCTGCCACATTTCTTTGCAACCGCCGCAGTTGTTTTATGTAAGAAAAGTTATTTTAAGATACCCTTGAGTGTTCTTTTTTTCCTGCTCAATGTAAAAATATTATTCTGTTGTTCGTTTCATTTTTTGCTAAATTAAATTACTTTCTCGACATCTTTTTTTTTTGCTGCTGCCCTTCCTGTAGTTCCAACAATTATGTCGATGCATGAATATTGAATTTATTGAGGCAATTTAGAAAAACAGTGACAAAAATTGTAATATTGGTTGCAGTACCCTACATTATTGGCTGGACATATATGTTAATAGTAGAGTTTCATAAATCGTCACTTGAAGAAGGAAAGAATCAAACTAATTAATATATATTTATATAGAAAACTGTTCTCAAAAAATGGTATACAATGCCATCGTATATATTGGTATAGGTCCGAAATTGCTAAATATAAAAGTGTAATCTATAGTTTTTTAACGTGATTACTTGCCCTTAACGCTCAACACCATGGTACTCTTAAAAAACGTGTCAGTATAATGCAATGCCCTCATTGCAATTCCAACTAAATCTGATACCAATTGAAGCTATATGTTTGGGTATAGTTACTTCATTGGAAGGGAGTGGGGATGTTTTCTTCTGTTCTCTCTATCTAATAACTCTGATGTTCTTTGATCCAGTTGTGATAATGATACTTCACATCAAATGAAAGTAATAAATGTGACATTATATTCACATAACCATGCGTTTTAACCACAGCGACTAAGATACTTCCATTAAAAGAGTCAACCTCAATTCGTCAGGATAACTGAAGCTGTTGGCTTCAACCCTTGGGTAAAACTCATTCACTCATTATTTTCTTACTGCAAAGAATGTTGAATAACGTCTACTAAATTTTAATCAGCTCTTCCGGAAGCCATGCGTCGGTAATATTTACGAAAACCAACAATCCAAGGGGACCATGCAATTATCAGAAAAGTAACTTTTCCCCTTCAAATGTTCGTGAGTAATAATAAGCTATGCTTGACAAATGCCTTATAAACTAGACAATTTAACACTACTGAGGAATCTGATAATATTTATTGACTTGTATTAAATGTCTGAATGAAAGAATCCATATAGGTTATACTTGAAAAAATCGTTATAAGTTAATCTAGAGAATTTGAAAGTATTGACTTGTACGTAGACGTCTAAACGAAAGAATGCATATG